CTCTCTCTCTCTCTCTCTCTCTCTCTCTCTCTCTCTCTCTCTCTCTCTCTCTCTCTCTCTTCCTCCCTGCTCTGCTCTTTCTCTCTCAGACTGTCTCCTTCCATCTCTCCGTGCCCCCTTCTCTGTGTTTGTCTCTCTCTCTCTCCCCCTCTCTCTTGGAGGCTCAGGTGTGAGGCTGCTCATTCTCTGGGAGGCCTGCCCCTGCCCCCAGCGCCTTCACTCACCTGGGCCTGTGACTCAGGCAGAGCTGTCCAGTGGGCACACTGGCCTCAGGCCTCAAAGCTTTCTTGGCCTCTAGTCCCCCGCCCCTGCCCCATCCGCAGTGCCCACCCAAGCATTTCCTCACATACCCAGGAAGGTTAGTTTCAGAGTTTTTACTTAATATCATCAGTTTGGAGCTGCTGGGGGCCTCAGAAGCCATCCATCCTCTCCCTCTTTTTGCAGATGAGGAAACTGAGGCTGAGGGAGGTGACTGGATAGGGAGGAAGGGGCAAAGGCAGGATACCACATCCCTTTCCTCTTCACCCAGGAGCTGCGGGAATGCCTGAGCCCCCACAGCCAGTGAGAGGCAGAGCTGGGCTACGCTCAGGTTCTCCCGCCCCAGAACCAGCCTGCCTTCTCCCCTGGGCCCTTTGCTCAGGCCCTGTAAAGCTCCTTATCCACTCTTGGGGCTTTGCCCAGTGGCCAGGGTTCTCTAGAGGTGACCTCCCCACCCGTTTCCATGGTTCTCCCAGCCCTGCTCCCTGGACTCCTTGCTGGAGCCCACCAGAGATGGCCATACCACCCTAAGCCTCTGCCGGGCTCCCCGGGGTTGGGGAGGGGAAGCCCAGAATACCCGCTCCCAGGCCTGGCTCTTTAGGAAGTGCCCCTACTCCCCAGCTCTCTCTTATTCGGGAGCTACTCACTCCAGCCCCTCTGAGAGGAGGTGACCAATTACAGGCTGACCTGGCAAACAGAGACAGATGCTCCTGAGCCCAGGCCTCCTCCCCTCGCCTGGGCCTGGGGGCCTGGCATCTCCCACTCACCTCCACCCCCACCTGCCCAGGGTTTGGCAGTTTGTTGGAGTCACCAGCCTCAGTCAGACAGTTGTTCGGGGCTCGAGCTTCTCCGGCCCAGGCCCAGCTCACCCCTGGTGTTGGAAGGGGGGTCCGGTGTGAACCTGTGGGGACAGCTCTCTGGACTGGCTTAGGACTGCCGAAGGAAGGGTGGGAACTTGTCAGTGGCAGGCCCCCCCCTTCTCAGGGGCCCTCTGGAGATGACGGCACACTGTTCCCCATTGGCATTCTGAAGTTCCCTGGGCTTCCTCCCTGACCCGCCCATCTGCCTGTCTCACACGGACACTTGGGCAGCAGGAAGGAAGGGTGCGGGGGCTCCGTGCCCACATGGACAGCCATTTGTTTGCCTGGGTTCCATCTAAGTTCCAGCCCACAAGCAAGGCCGGAGGAGGTGACTGTCGAAGGTGGAGACCATGCCTGGAACCCACTTCTGCATCCAGAGGTCTTGGAAGCCTGGCCTGCTGTCTTCTAATCTTTGTTCCTGGAGATCCCCAGAAGAGACGCCCCTTCCACCGGGCTGGCTCAGACTGGGGTGGGGGGGGGCAGGGCGCGGAGACAGAAGGACATGGATTCATTCCTGGTGTTTGGATGCTCCAGGAAACTGGGAGGGAAACAGAAGGATGGAGAGGGCTCCCAGCCCCCAGCTTCCTGCCCTCAGCGTCCCAGGAGACCCGACACCATCTATAGTCCATTAGGGGTGGGGCGGGGCTGGGAGGACAGGCCTTTGTATAGAAAACTTTACAGTTTGTCTTTGAAGGGAATCACTACCAAGCAGCTGCCCCCAGGACCGGTGCCATCTCCACTCTGCCCTCCCCACCTCCGCTGTTTCTGTGGTCTCTTTTTGGGTGTTAGAAGTCATAACTCTCAGCGTTCTCTTTGGCCTGGAGGGTGGGCAGAGGCAGCTGTGGAGGAGGGAGCGTTAGGGGTAACAGTTTGGGGAGGGGTACGGCTTCTAGGCCGCCAGGACCTTACCTGCTGCCCGTCCAGCCTGGGTGACCAGCCCCCACGCCTTACAACCAGCCTCTCCTTGGCCCCCCACTGAACCTCCCCGCCAAAGCCTCAGAAGACTTGAAGGAACGTGGTGCTGTCCCTTCCCCCTGGCCCCTCCCCCTTTCCAAGACAGCTGGCATGGAAGGAGGAGCGAGAGAGTCTGAGGGAGAAGGATGAGGAGGGAAGCAGATGGCAGGGCACCAGGAGACTGGGGGGGAGGGGCTTTTCATCAGCCCTGCTCAGTGGCTGATTTGGAAGTCATGCCACGGGGTGGAAGCCCCAGGCCCAGGGTTGAGTCCCATCCCCCAGATGGCCACAGACCTTTACCCTCTCCCCCTGTCATTCAGGCTGCCTGGGCAGGGAACCCAGAAAGGGCCTGGCTGTCATTATGAGGACTCAGGCACTGGGGTCCTGGAAGGACAGAGACCGAGGAGGGCGGCATGTCTGCTAAAGCTGGTGGCCCTCAGGAAGTCAGACCCCTGCCACAGAAATGGCCAGGAAGTGGGGTGCTACATCTGCAGGGTGTGATGGGCATGTATGGGGAAGCGCAGAGTCCAGCTGTGAAGAGCCTGGGGAATGGGAGGAGTGGAAGACTAGAATGTCAGAGGTCCAACCCCTCAGTTGACAAATGAGGAAACTGAGGCCCAGAGGATGGGAGCACGGCTCCAAAGTCCCAGTACCCAGAGGGCTGAGCAATGAAGCAGGTAGAATATTCCAAATCTGGTCAGTAGGGGTCCTCTCCCCTCCCCTGCCCCAGCCTGACTCAAGGCAGGAGGGGTGAATGTTAACCTGGGAGGAGGAGCATGGGAGGGCAGGGTCTGGCAGCTCCCCTACTCCACTCCCAGAGGCCATCCCCCAGCTCCCTGACACCTCAGCAGTCATCCCACAGCCCCCCTCCCCATCGGCAGGGCTTTCCCACTTGGATTGGGGGTAGGTGTCCCTTTCCTTAAGCAAAGGAAACTCCAGCTTGACGAGTGTCTCAGGAAGAGAATCTGGCCCCAAGCCTCGGGTGCCCCTGGCCAGCTGGTAGCTGCTCTTCCTGGAGCCCCGGGCAGTGTCGAGGGTGCTCCTGGGTGGGTTTGGCTGGTGTGGGTGGTTGCCCTGTGGTTCTGTTTTACCAGGCAGCCTCCCTGCCCCAAGCTAGGGCTCCCGGGCACTGGCCCCAGTGGGCTGCCCTCTGCACTTAGCAGCCATCCCCAGTGGGTAGCTCCTCTGAGAAGGGGTCCAGGGGAGGAGCCCTTTCCTGAGCCACCCCTAATACCCTGCTGTTCTCCGCCCTTAGCTGAGAATGGCCCCCTAGAGCCTGGAAAGCAGTAGGGAAGCAAGGGGCAGCTTGTCTTCGCTTTAAGCACATTTCTTGAGAGTCATCTATGGTCCATAGTGCAAGAACACAGGGATTCCTGAATTTGCACAGTGATGTGACAAGTTTAACTGGGATAAATGAAAAGTGCAACATTTGGATCAAAAAGCCAGCGGCCCAAATGGGAGAAAGGGTGAGCCCATCGGGGCAGCTGTTCACAGGCGACACGGCACGTGACCGCAGTGACGTGGCGGCCGGGGAGGGCGTTCCCTTCTGGGCACCAGAGCCTAGGAGAGACCTTGACAAGTTGGATGGGGAGCAGAGAGCAGAGCCCAGTCTGCGCCATACAAGGGGAGGCTGAAGGATCTGGCATGTTTGTGCTAGATGCGGGCTGGGGAGGGAAAGCGTGACCTCCCTTCTCAAGCACTGGGGGAGCTGTCCTGTGGAGGAGGGATTTTCCTTCTTCTGTAGGACCAGCAGCAAAGGAGGACATTTCAGGAGGTGGAGATCAGTCAGAGGAGAAAGAAACAGCCACAGTAGATGGTAGTGAGTTCTCCATCTCTGGAGGTCTCCAAGGCAGAGACGGGCTCCAGAGACTTCCTGCTCTGGCACAGGGGCTTGTTCAGTCGGCTTTTCATGACCCCATTTGGGGTTTTCCTGGCAAAGATACAGGAGTGGTTGGTCATTTCCTTTTCCAGGGTCCTCAGTGTACAGATGAGGAAACTGAGGCAAACAGGGTAAAGTGACTTGCCCAGGATCACACAGCTAGTAAGTGTGAGGCTAGATTTGACCTCAGGTTTTCCTGGCTCTAAGCCCAGCACTCTGTCCACTGCAGTGCCCCCTACTTGCCCCATATCCCTTTGAGATGACCTCAAAGGCTCTTTCCAGCTCTGAGGCATGTTAGTTTGTGTGCTGGATCCTTGGGTCTGAATCCCTTTCTTGGAATCCCAAACACAGTCAGCAGTCCTTTTAAGGAATCCTTACCCTCCCATCAGTCCCAGGAGCCAGAGCAGTGGTCAAAGTGGGGTTCATGGGAGAGCAGCGAAGGGCCAAAGACCTTCAGTCTTCATCCCCAGTGAAGGGCTCTGGGACCCTGGGAGGAACAGGCTGTGAGGGGGAGAAGAGCCCTGACTTTTGTCTGCATTCTACACAAAAGAAGTTCCCCCCAGGAGGAGAGGACCCTGAGGTCTCCCAGGAGGGCGGGCTTAGGAAGTCTGCACGGGTGGACCACCATCAGCCCACCCGCATGTAAGACAGTCCCTGGGACGGAAGATCAACAAGAAATGAGGTTTCCTATTTTCTTATGCAAAAGCTATCGTTCCTTTCCACCTGCAATTGTGTCCCCTGCATGTGATGTCAGTAGCCAGCTATGATGTAGTGTGGTGGGGGGTGTGGGGGCCGGAGTGATGCTCTGAGTTTGCACAGATGATTGGCATATACTCCTGGGGTTAGAGAAATAAAAAAAGTTTTGCTGAGAAAATGTGTGGATGTGCATTTCTGCCTTATTGAGATTCCCATCCCTTTCAGCCACCCCCCAGAGAGGGTGAGGGCAGCCAGATACCTCTAGCTCAGAAGTGGGGCAGCAGAGCTGGAGGGACCCCTGGCTTCCCCCCGCCCAGGATC